GCCTAACCGCAATATTCTCCAACTTTAATGAAACTCAAGTTCGAGAAAATTTGATGATATGGTGTGGCCTTATATTGGCTAATTATAAATGTTTTCGTGACCCTCGGTAGGATGACGATCAAAGCGGTTTTTGGTTGCGACAAAATCTAGCAGTCAAAATATGTAAATAATGTGGCAGGCTTTTCCAAAATTCAGCGTATGTACATGCAGTTGTTTTTCAAAGATTTTTCATCATTTATTTTAGCTTGTGATGAACCCTTGAAACGTCCCAGGTTCAGTTAAAAATAAAATAAGTAGCCATTACGCAATGGCTACTTTGATAATGGGGGCATGCTTTGATAATGAAAATAAAACCGTTTCATCGCCAAAATATTTCAGATTATTTGTCGAATTGCATTTCATAGCAAATTTTTCTTACCGGCATTTGTTTTTGCTGAACATAGTGAACAGGTGAACCTGGTGATCAGCGGGTATACTGTACTGTATTTCAATTTCCGCAACAACAAAAAGTTGTATCATGATCTAGCCGAAGAGGTAAGATCACAGAACGCATCAACTTTCTTTTTTTTTTCTAGATGTCGCTAGATTTCCAAATATGCACCCGCGCCACAGCGGCTCACGCGTCCCAAAATCCATTACGGGCCATGGTGTTTTTTTACGTCACCTCATGTCTTAACTTCTTGTACAGTATACTTCTTAACGTCTTTATTTATTCATGATTGAAAAAGACTTACTTGTAGCTACCGAGCCCAGGATTCCCGAAGGCATGTCCAACCCACGGCATCAACATGCTGCTGAAAATGTGTCCCCAAGGTTTGCCGGCACGTCGGGCTTTATGAGCGAATGCCAAGGCGCAGTCGTCGACAATATGTGGACTTATCAGGACCAGGTCGTACTCTTCGTCAGGTTTGTTCAAGTATTCCCGGAAAACGTCATCTTGCAAAAGCCTTTCACACACCCGCGGAGCGTGACTCAAATACCAGAGAAACACGATCGTCCCGGCGACGTAATTGTAGCTCGGCATTTCGTTCAAATGATACCAAAATAATTCGTCGGAAAGTTGCTTGAATGCCGGGGACGTTATCTGCTGGATGTTTGGCGTTTTCACGTGTGCACTGGCTTTTTGTGGCACTAGCAGGTCGACGTGGTGGCACCTTTGTGCCAAACCTGCAGCAAATTCCGAGTACACGAACACGTGGCTCAGAGTGGAAACCGGAGCGACGATGAGGATTTTGGCGCATGGAGTTTGACCAAC